CAGAAATGTTGTTTTACACTGTATAAACTGTATGTCACTGAAATATTGAATGATGTTGCTCTCAAAAAGCAATTGTTCTCAAATGGGAAAAAAAGTGAAAATAATTTCTGCATTTTTTTGTTTTCTCTCTGTTAGTTTCTTTTTCCCCTTCTTTAATGAGGTATAATTGAGAAATAAAAACTGTATATAAAGATGTACAACTTAATGTGTGTGCATATATATATAGTGAAATAATCACCACAATCAAGAATTTGGATTAACATGTCTATCACCTTACATAGTTACCATTTTCTTTTCATGTGTGTGTGTGTGTGTGGTAAGAACACTCAAGATTTACTCTTTTAGCAAATTTATATACTAACATTTGAGTGTAATAGATTTTATAATACATAATAGAGTATTGTTAAGTATAGTCAAATTACTGTACATTAGATCTCCAGAACTTCTTCAATTGGTATAACTGAAATTTTGTATTAATAGCTTACCTTTTTTCCTCCTTCTTAGCCCTTAGCAAACACCATTCTATTCTCTGCTTCTAAGAGTTCGACTGCTATTTTGACACTGTCTTCTTTCAGGGAAAAGCTGCCTGCTCCGTTTGGGTGACTAATAAGCTGTAATTCTTAAATATTGAATATCAACTGCATGAGAAAACAGTTTAACATTTTACATGCTTGACTTTCCCTTCCTCAAATAGATAAACAGATATTTTGATAGTGTTTTATGTCATTCCAATTATACTCCAGATGCAAATTCTTGGGGTGAAAACTGAAGTCTCTTTGCTTTGTCCCATGCCATACACATTTCCAGCTGTGGTCATAAAAGGTATAAACACATGTGCCACCGCCGCTAAGACTTGGTAAAGAGAGCGGTCACACTAAATGACATGAATCATTAAACATTTCCTTTTAATATTGTAATGGTTTTTAGGATGTAAGGAATAAAGATGTTAAGAGTATGTAAACTACTACCAGTCAAACCAAACATAATTCTGGCCAGTTTATCAAATCATGTTTGTTATATATGGAGAAATAAATAAAATACAAAATGTCCTCCCACTATTTAAACTAACCAACACTCCCCTGGGATTTGATAATAGAAGGCAAATTATATTACCCTAATATAATTCATATTGCCCAGAAAAATGAACCAAATCATTTCATCTTGCCTTTCTGAAGTAAGGTATTTCCTTTTTCTGTTTCTCTCATGTAGTAGGAAATGTCCTTTCAGGATATTTCAGTAAATGGAAAAAAGTAATGATACATATACTTCCGTAGTTTAAGTGATAAAAGGGATTTCAAATGAATTTTGACTTCTTAATAGCCCTTTATAGCATCCTCTACCCTTTATTTATGTTCACAAGTCATGTAGAGAAATAAAAAACTACAACGGTAATGGAATGTGTAGCACACGCCCCTGCTGTGCTGCCACAGACCTCTCAGCCTCACTTTGTTGCTTGCTCCACCCTGGCCATCTCTCTAGGAACTGACTCTTGCTGGTGCTCATGATTTTATCACCATCGAGAGTGGAGACTGACTCTTCTTCTCATTTTCAGAGATACATGAAGCATTAGGCCATAGGACATGATATCTGACTTCCACAGGGAGAGATTAAGGAAATGAGTGATATAACCTAGAACTGTAGAGAAATTAGTTTAAGCAATGAATGAGCGACGATAGGAGGGAAATCACCCCTCTGTCACTTCTATTGTGGCTGAGTGTGAGTCACAGTGCTATGCCACACAGATAGGTGACTGGTTATGTCTATGCTGAAGCAATAACCAGTTTGGTTAGATTCTGTCTTCTATGCCCTTATTCTCACTGTCCTGGGATTGTACCAACTAATAAAGAATCAGCACTTAAATTTGCCTTAGGTAAAGGGTGCCGCTGTTTGAGGTTGTTTTCCTTTGAAAACGTACTCAATCTACAAAATCAGCAGTTACAGAGAGTGTAACTTAAAGAGGTTTTTAGAATGTGGGCTCCAAACATAGAAAGTGTGCTACATCATGCTTCTGACAACTTCCAATATGTCTTGTTGCTTTGGATCCCAGTCAACAAGTCCTGATTAGTGAGTTAACCAATATAACTGACCAAATAAAGAACTCGAGTGAAGCATACATTGGCTCTCGTCCATAGAACCCAATAAGATACTGGGTCTTTTTTTTGTTGATAAGAGCAAACCCACAGCAATTTTCCTTCGACTACTGAAGAGATTGACCAGTATGAATCTGCCTGCTTAATCCCAAGGAATTTTACTTAGCTAACAGTCTTCTGAATTTCGATGAGTCTCACCAACCCTCCTTGCTGGCAGAGGTGTGATAACACTACAGCCAACTCCACTGAGACTGAAGCTTCTGACTTGCCAAGTAAGAAGATAATTTTTGTACACTTCACATATCAGAGGGTGGAGCTACTTATGCTAAATCCTCCCTGATGGCAAATGGCAGGCAGTTTAATTATCCCTGTCCTGCCAGCACTTCTCTCTCTATACTCTTTCCAAATGGGCAAATCCTTTCTGGCGTTTACAAAACAGAGAGGTATAGCTATAAAATATCAATCCCTACTACCTGTTTAGATATGGAAATGGCAACAGCATATTAAATTGGCCCAAAGGGCACCACCACAGGGTCATTTTAGCTTATGTGAACGTTGACCAAACTCTGTGAGCTTAGTCAGATATCTTCCCCTATGGAACCTAGTAGGAAGGTGTGTTTATGTCCAACAGAACAATAGAAGTTTGAGTTTCTTTATTTCCTGAAATTCCCTAACATATTGGATGGTTGTATATAACCCTCAATTCCTCTTGGAGACAAAGAGACCTCATCCCCACTCCTAATAGTCTTTTTCCTTAAAGCAGCTAAGTTTAGAATAGGGAGGGAATGATCAGACACGGTACACAAAGGGAGAGACCCGTTCCATGCTGTTAAACAAGACTCATTTATTTTTCTTCTCAAGCGGTTCAGCTGTTGGCCTATCCATGGGTGGGGTTGATCTTCATGCTGGCTGACTGTGAGGAAGAACCCCACCCATAGTATAAGAGCTGCTTTGCATACAGGGCTGAGACCAAAAAGTGGAATTTGCCTCAGCACAGTCCCGTGACTGCCAAGATCTCTTTTTGGGGTGCCACTTAACACAGCTGATTGGCATGCTCTGCTGTGGCCTAAAACCTGCCACCAGGTGGATTGGTTCTAGGGCCTTTTGAGGAGAGCTGCATTGCAGGTCAATGTCAAACGCTGCCTCTGACTGGCCCTGGGCTACCTGTTTGGAGCTACAAAGTGATCCACAGTTTGTGGGTGCCCCTGTGGGGCCTGGATGTGCATGGGAGGGGCCAAGCTGCGTATCAAGGCCAGCTTCTCCCAGTATTGAGCCTTGGGGCAGGTCAGCAAAATCCCAGAGCACCCCAAAACCCGCCTCCAGCTGCCAGATGCCTATTAGGTTCAGTCCCTGAAAGAGCCTCTGGCAATACATGAGTTATATGAGGTAGCGGCAGGTGGTATATAACAGTGGTGTTCACAGATTGAAACTTGGTGCCAGTGCTTGTTCCAAAGCCACTCAGCAAAAGTCTCAGGGTAGACCAAGGTCATCCACCATCCACCTGGGGCTTATGCACCTTTGTGGTGGGACAAGTCAGGGAGTCTTCAGGGTCAGGCCAGCAGAGTTTATCAGGCTAAAACAGACCAAGGTCTGGCAATGTGGAGGAAGGGCTCTGCATAGGAACAGTGGCACTTGTCCAGCTTTCAAAAGCCACATAACTCAGGCTGTCTCTCCCAGGGTGTCTGTCACCCCAAGTCAGCCCAGACCACCTGGGGAGCCTTCCAAGAAAATCTGCATGACAGGCCCCAGGCTCTTCACAGTCAGCAGATTGCTCCACAAAGGCGCAAGCCTGAGGACACAGGGAGTCGGGAGGGTGAAAATAGTGCATTCGCTGGGCCGATGCCCTATGAAAAGGAATGCTCAACCCAGGAAAGACGGCGCTGTGGGTGGTGTGGGTAATGAGTCAGCACAGAGAATATGGGAGCTGTCCCTCCAGCCTCTCCTTGAAGCCATACAACCCCATCTCTCCCTGTATGACTCTCCCTGTATGACTTTAGGCCGCTATGAGCTGCTTTTCCCTCTGTGGGAGCCCAAGGTGAGTGGCCACAAACAAGATTTTGTGCACTGGTCCTTTAAGAGGGAAGGCACTTGAGTTTCTAGCAGACTCCCATCTCTCCCTGGCAGATGGAATTCCCACGGATTATCACAGCCAGATGTTATGTGAACTTCTCTCACTGGCTCTGGTGCTCTGGGCTAGGGAGCTCTGGATGGGGTTGAAACCCTCATTCCCCATCAGGGACCTTCGAAGCTGAGAGATCCCTGCAGATTCTCAACTACCACATGTGGATGCAGGGCCTGCCCTTTTCATGTCTCAGACCTTCCTACCCGTCCCAATGAGGCTTCTTCTATACTATTTGGTTGTAAGACTTATTACTAGTCTCCAGTTGGTTATTTAGGTTAATTGTTCTATAATGAGTTGTGATTCCAACATGGTCCTGGGAGGAGCTGAGTGTAACTTCCACTTACTCCTCTGGCATCTTGGATCCCCCACCATCTGGGTATCTTCTGTGTTGAGGTGTCTGTCTGGAGCTTATCCCATTTTTAAATTTGGTTCTTTGCTTTCTTACTGTTGAGGATTAAAACTATATACATAATACATATATTATATATAGTATATATAGAGTATATATATGGTTCTTTAGCAGATGTGTGTTTTGAAAATATTTTCTTCAAGTCTGTGGCTTCAGTTTGGGTAGAAGACTGACATCCACAAAAATGTCTTTCTCTACCCCCTGTCCTACTCTCATACCACCAGAGGCTTCTTTCTCTTCGTCCAGGAAGAGCCTGGTGAGTTCCATTACTCAGGACCTAAGTTCTCTGCTTGAGAGGCAATCCCATTTCTGGGCAGATGAGACATCCTGCTGACCATGGCTCCCCTGGCAACCTCAGACCAAGTGGACTCCCCCTGACCTGTCTCTGGGGGAGATGAGGGCTCTCTCCCTGATCTTCGCTGAGCAGAATCCATCCTCACAGAAGCTGGATGTGCTGGGTGTGCGGGCAAAGAGCTGGCACAGAGCCAGGGCAGGGGTCACTGCTGGAGAACCCTGAAGTGTGGTTTGGACACTATAGCTTCCCCTAAAGCCTAAAGCTTGACCCTCTGACCTTCTTGCACCTTCCATGATGCCCTTTTTGAAGTTCCCTCTGTTCACACGAGCTCAAGTGTGTCCTGCTATTGCCACTGAGGACTTTACCTCAACAGAGCCCCTTCGCAGTGGTCCTGTGACTGGATGAGCTTCCCTAAACCTACTTTCTTTCTGCACTTGGAGGGAGAGCTTTCGGGCCAGAATGTCCAGACCCACATCCTCCTAAGCCCCGGATGGCAGGGCGAGGCTGCTTAGCTGAGTTGCGTCATGGAGCGGGGCAGGGCTGGCGTGGGCAAAAGGTAGGTGGGTGGGACACGAGGCAGGGCATTTAGAGAAAGTTAGAGAGACAGAGAAAGACAAATACCATATAATTTCACTCGTATGTGGAATCTAAAGAACAAAATGAACAAGCAAACAAAATCAAAACAGACAGAGATACAGGGAATAGGCTTGTGGTTTAGAGGTGAGGGGGTTTGGGAGACTGGGTAAAAAGGGATTAAGATGAACAAATTGGCCGTTACAATATAGTCAAGGGAATGTAAAGTACAGCACAGGGAATATAATCAATAATATTGTGACAACTATGTATAGTACCAGGTGAGTACTAGAAATTGGAGGGGGGGTGCACTTTGTAAAGTATATGATTGTCTAGTCACTAAACTGTACATCTGAAACAAATACAGAGTAATATTGAATAAAAAGTAACATTAAACTTTCTATCAAAATCAAAGAAACTAGGATGGCCAAAATAATTTTGTAAAAGAAGATAAAATATTATAGGATATACAGTGCATTATTGTAAACCTATAGGGATCAAGGCAGTATACTACTGGTAGAAGTTTAGACACAAATAATAATGGTATTTAATTGAAAGTCCAGAAATAGACACATGCATATAAGGCCAATTGATTTTGATAAAAACACAAAACAATTCAATGGAAAAAAGACATTTTTTAAAACATACTATGTTGTAATATTTAAAAAACACATGTGAAAAATATGGAAAAAAGAAAATGACCAATATTTAGCATCATATATCATGTATAAAAGACAATTCAAAATGGATATAATTCAAATGTAACACTTAAAATTATAAAACATCTGGAAGGAAAACTAAGAAAAAGATTTTAATTGTTGTGGCTTTCAGCTCAAGATTTTTACGTATAACCAGTAGCATGGATCATAAAAAAAATGATAAATTAGACTTCAGTATAATTAAAAACTGCTCTTCAAAAAATGAGCTGTAAACCTCAGATTGGAAGAAAATATTGGCATAACATATATATATATGTATATATATATATATATCTCAAATAGTTTATATCCATGATACACTTAAAATTAGAAAATTTAATAATAAAAATACAAATAACCTAATTTTTAAAAAATGGTCAAACTATTAGAACAGAGAGATCACCAAAACTGAGATATAAATAGAAAATGAGCACTTGTAAAGGTGTTCAACTGTAGTCATTAGGGAAATGCAGGCCAACACCACAATGCCTTAACACTGTATGTACACTTATTAGAATGGCTAAAATAAAGGTATCATCATCATTATCATTATAAAACTGACAATATCAAGTTATGGAAAAGATACAGAACAACTAGAAATAACATAAATTGCTGGATATTGCAAAGTGACACAGCCAATTTGGCCAATCTTTTGTCTGTTTTTAAATTTTAATATATATTCTTCATATGTCCCAGAAAATGCATTCCTAAGCTTTGCCAAATATCAAAAATTTATTGTCATAGAAATATCTCTATATTAATGTTTTTGGTGACTTTTTAATATAATCTTCCAGAGGTAGAAATTACCCAAAAATACTTCAACTGGTGAAAGTGAATAAATAAGTACAGCATTTTCATACAATGGAATACTACTTGTCAATTAAATAAAGGCACGACTGATTTACTCAACAGCACAGAAAAAATTTAAAAACATTATGCTAAGTGAAAGAAGTCAAATTCAAAGGGTAATGCACTATATGATTCCATTTATATGAGGAAAAGTAGATAAACAATAAGATAATATATACTTAGTAAAAGTAGGGAATAAATGATGTGAATTAAAAATAAGCAGAGACTGGAGGTAATGAGTGTAGGGAGGTGGAATCAGACTTACCCTGGGTTGGCAAGGGAGGTTTCACTGAAAATGTTAAGTAAAGATCTGAAGTAGGTGGGGGGACAAGTCACAGAAAGTTGTCAATAACAATGCGATGTAAAGAGGGTGAATCTCAGACTATATCCCATGATTTGTGGTAGCACAGAGCAGTCAACTTAGCCTCTGACATAAGTATTGAAATATATATGCATAAGCTATTGTCTTTGGATATATGACACTCTATAGTTATATTTTCCATGTTAATGAGATATGAAAAGATTCCAGTCAGGAATTTAAATATTTGTAAGGATACAAATGTGAAAGTCCTGGTGTATGTGGGACCTTGCATGTATTTTCACTCAGGGGCAGAATGAGTATAATACGTAACTGAAGGAAATGAGGAAACTGAGTAAGAAAGCTAATTCAATATTATTCTGTGGAAAGAATGGAATTTATTTAAATTTTACAAGAAGACAAGTGGCACAGTCAGATTTATAATAACTTTTATGGCACCTTTTTTACACTGTCACCTGAGTTCCTCTAATGGTGAAGTCCTCTGACAGCAGAAAATCGGGAAAATTGAATACGGTAAGCAGAGAGTAAAAGCATACATAACACCAGAATTGCCTGAGAGATCAGTGTCAAATACAGGTGTTTTTCAATGGTCCTTTCTGAAACCCTGTTATCACCTGTGTTCTCACCCTCAAGCTTTTGTGAAAATGAGAATAAATTTTAAGGAAGCCATGTAATGAAAGCTTTATCCCACTTTCCTATGGCATATTTTTATCCATTTCTCTAGGTTTGCTCAAACCCATCATACTCAAACATTTTAATGTGCCTTTTTCTCATTATATTTAATATGTTTATTGTAAAAAGTAAATGCACACGAAAAAGAAAAATAACATTTAAACCAGGATATTAAGACTATTAGCAAGCACTTTGTTTTATTTAGTTTCAGGTTGTTCTTTCTATTTGTCTTTTATTTGACTGGAAGTAAAGCTAGCATTAATGGGCAATTTTGTTCCTTGGTTTATTTTCATTGAAAATTTTATCAGGAATATTTTACTGTCATTTAAAATGATTTGAGACATTTGGTTACAGCTTCCACATATAAAGACTTTAGAAGTAATCACACCAGCCTTCGCAATAGAAGACATGCTCAGGAGAACTAAAATGAATTAGCTGCAATGTAGGAGTTGGACAGAAAAATAGTTTGAGATTAAACTGAAAGTTTGTTACCCCATATTATGGGAATAAGAACTTGACAAATTTTAAAAAATGGCATTTTCGTAGGTTTCAAAATTTATACAATGTTTTTGAAGAAGAATGTGGCATAATGCATATTCCTTTTCAGAAAAATAAATTCTGGGAACTAGGAAACCATTGTAGAATATTAGCAAATGACAGATACTTAAATAATTGTAAATATTACAGAGAAATAAAAGCCAGAAGTGCTAATCTCATATTGTTATGCCTTTTAATCCTTTTTTTCATTTTTTTCATGAAGGAAATAATGATATAGATAGGTGGTAAATATTTTTGATCTAGACATAAAAGCATAAAAACACTAACTCATTTTTTTCAAAATGAGCACTTTTTTCCCCTCATTTTATTGTGCCAACTTGTAGTAAATACCAATTTAAACCCAGAGTTTGTTGATCAGTAATATTATGTTCTTTTCATTTCCTGTGGGTGTGGTCAAAGTTGATTATAATATCATCATTTAAATTATTTAGGTGTGTGTATAATACATATATGTATATACTCATGTATATATGTGTATATACACATATATGTAGAGAGAGATTCATTGTTTTAATAGCCTCAGAAATATTATGAATATTTCTTGAAGTGATATGAATATTTCCACAGTTTAATTAACATATAAGTCTATTTGTACATAGAGAGAAAGATTCACTGTTTAAAATATCCTCAAATATATTGCAAACACTCAGCATCTTCAAGTGATATGAATAGTTTCACAGATTAATTAACAATGTTTAATTTTTAATGTATAAAATATGGATAGATTAATGTAATCTTAAATTCAGTGACATAGAGATATTTGATATGAATCCGTGTTTGCAAAGTAATACTTTTCTCAGGTGGTAATAACTTCTCTGAGCTTCTGTTTGCTGATCTGCTAAAAAACATGATAACATCTCACTGACAGTATTTTTATAAGGACTTGTTGGATGGTGTATAGGAATGTGCTTTGTAAATGTCAAGTTATCAGGCAGGCGTAATGAGTTATTTCCAGTAATTCAAGCATGGGATTAGATTATCAGAATTAGAAATAAAAACTTTGTAATGAATATGGGAACATGACATTTTACCAGCTAGAAACCACTTGAAACTGTCCTTCAAGGAATTAATGAAAACAGTGTATGGCTGAGACAATATAATTATATGTAATTCTGTGGGATAAAATATATTACTCATTGAGAACATAAAATATGTAATATAGGGTCAAAGAGACATATTATATAATGATAATGGAAGAAATATCTATGAAAGTATTGGGATAAACTGTTTATCCATTTTTAAAAAATTAAATTTAAAAAATAGTTCAAGCCTCCACATGAAATTACCAAATTATTTTTATAGATATATTTTAAGATTTTAAACACAAAAACATGAGAAGACAAGATCATTGGATATAACATTTTTGGAAGCAGAAATGAAATTTTTTACATTATTTTTTATTGTATTTTTTTCATTATCATTTGTATCCCTATACCCTCTTCCACCTCCACCCACCCCTCTCATCCCCATAATCACCACTCTGTCATCCACATTCATGAGTTCTTTCACTTCTTTTTCTTTTTCTTTTGGCCACCCCTCCTACCTGCCCCCAAAGCTATCAGCCTACTCTCTATCTATGAGTCTGTCTCTATTTTGCCTGTTAGTTCAGTTTGTTCATTAGATT